ATAATAATATTAATTAAAACATATTATGTAAACTGTATATGGCTGGTATTGGTAGTTTAAAGAAAAAATACACACCAGTATTCCACTTTCTTCCTTAACATTTTAAGGAAAGTCTTACAAGTGATTATTTTAGAAACAATTGTACGTGCTCCTCCTGACTATATTAAGTTAATATACTTTGTAAAAAGTTATAATGTTTTAACCTTTTCTGCGAATACGTTCGTTATCAGAGTAAACAAAAGCATACTTTTCAAATTTGATTAATAGGGAATATAATATGAAATCGTGTTATCTAAAGAAAAGTATCTAAAGTATCTAAAGAACATGCTTGCCAGTGCGGTGACATCAGTTTGTCTTCAAAGTCCCTTAATTAACTTTAAACATTTTTCACCATTTAGACTTTTTTTTCATACCATTGTTAAACAAAGCAGGAGCGTATTGTACTTCCTCATGGGATCAAATGTGGAAAGATTAGATTGTTATCGTTTTTATTTTTTAAAATAAATTTTAGAAAAGTTTCATCTATACAAAAAGGTTGTATTTATTTAATACCACTTGATATTTATATTAATAGAGATAAGCTCTCTATTAAAGCTCAGATCAAAGATCAAACACGGATCATACAGCAATATCTCACACACTGGGACTGATCTGTGATCTGTGATATATTTGAGTGTGAGCTGTGGTGCTCTAGCAGGTTAGCTGGTGTCTGTGTGGTTCGGGATGGCTGGCTGTTCCGAAAAATAAATAGAACATTAAAGAGAACCAGTTTAACAGCTCTTAAGCATACTGTAGTTTTTGTTAACACAACTTTGTCAGTGGAAAAAAAAAGACCGGGGGCACTTTTCCTCCCCACAACATTCTCAGAGTAGAATAGGCAAACCTTCCAATGAAAGACAGTCCCCCTTTACCCCACGGGCGGACTGAGAAATGTTTTCACTGCCTATTATTTGAGTTACAGTACATAAATATAATTATATCGTTATTAATTTCTTCAGATACATGATTCCATATTATATTTCCTATTTAATCAAATTCTAAAAGTATGCTTTTGTTTACTCCGATAACGAGATTATTTGCAGAAAAGGTTAAAACATTATCACTTTTCACAAAGTATATACATTTAATATGGTCAGAAGGAGCAATTAAAAACGTTTCCAAAATAACTACATGAAATACTTTCATACTTAAAATGATTAGGGAGAAAGTGGAATACTGGTGTGTATTTTTTATTTAAAATACCAATACCAGCCATATACAGTTTACATAATATGTTTGTGTTCCTAAATTAATATATTTTATGAGCATGTGAAAGGCATGGTGAATCGGAGATTCTCAAAACTTATTTCGTATGATTGGAAACAAATACCTGATTGGATCAACTAAATGCTGTGGTGTTACTTTTTGTCAATGAAAAAATAAAGTATTTTCGTTCACAAAGACAGTTACAAAGAAAGTGGACCAGGGTAATACTTTGAGCTTACAGCCTGTCCAAGGTCATTCATTATTAATAATATTAGTACTATCTTCTGTAAAGACTTTAATGCATAAAATATATCGCATAATTAAAATATTAATGATGAAGGTGGAAGGTTGTGTACTTTTGTCCAACTGAGCAATCTATTTTGCTTTTATAAAATATACAGACTTTTTAATGTTTAGTGATTAACATGCTGTAATACACAGTATAAAATTATTAAAGGTCTAACGAGTATACAACTTAAATTCTTAATTGGAAAAAGATTGCCCTTCCGCAGTGACCGGGATTTGAAACCATGCGTTTTCTGGCGACTGTTCAAATGCTGTACATGAAATGTTAAGCTTTATTAGCTCCACCTGGCGCTTTTACAAGGTGCTTCCAGATACTATTATCATATTTCAATTTGCATGCGGTATGATGTGCCATGCACACCGCGTTTTGACGCAGCATACTCTGCGCATTTTGAATGGCTGGAATTATACATTAACATACTTTCTTGTCATTGTAAATTAACTGAAGTACTTTTCTTTTTCTCAATCTCTTACAGTCACAGTGCACAGTCTCTTGATGAAATGGGATTTAATGACCAAAGCTTACTGGAAAACCTCCAGAGTAACCATGTAAGTAGCACTGGATTGCTTCTAAAGTATTTCTGGAGGAAACCATACAAACATAGAACAATCTCCACGCAGCATGCACCCCAGGTCTGAAATTAAACGCACATCCTCAGCAATGCAAGCCACTGCACCACCGTGCCACCCTCCACACACGCACATCATTTCTTTTTTGTATATTCTCTATAGCTTGCATTTATCTGTTGTTCTGCTTTGGGGTTTTACTGGTATTTGTATTATATTAAAAAAATAATGTATGAGAATATGTAGAATGCTTAGACAGGTAAATTTGCAATATAATTAATCCATTCATTTTCTAACTTCTTTATCCAATATAGGGTCACAGGGGAGCTTAACAGGACAGGCTTTGGGCAGGGTACAACCTAGACGGGACACCAGTCAGTCGCATGTACATACAGTGCCTTGTGAAAGTATTTGGCCCCCTTGAACTTTTCAACCTTTTGCCACATTTCAGGCTTCAAAAATAAAGATATAAATTTTTTATTTTATGTGAAGAATCACCAACAAGTGGGACACAATTGTGAAGTGGAACGAAATCTATTGGATTTTTGAAACTTTTTTAACTAATAAAAAAATGAAAAGTGGGGCGTGCAAAATTATTCGGCCCCTTTACTTTCAGTGCAGCAAACTCACTCCAGAAGTTCAGCGAGGATCTCTGAATGATCCAATGTTGTCCTAAATGACTGATGGTGATAAATAGAATCCACCTGTGTGTAATCAAGTCTCTGTATAAATGCACCTGCTCTGTGATAGTCTCAAGGTTCTGTTGAAAGCGCAGAGAGCATCATGAAGACCAAGGAACACACCAGGCAGGTCCGTAATACTGTTGTGGAGAAGTTTAAAGCCGGATTTGGATACAAAAAGATTTCCCAAGCTTCAAACATCCCAAGGAGCACTGTGCAAGCGATCATCTTGAAATGGAAGGAGTATCAGACCACTGCAAATCTACCAAGACCTGGCCGTCCCTCTAAACTTTCAGCTCAGACAAGGAGAAGACTGATCAGAGATGCAGCCAAGAGGCCCATGATCACTCTGGATGAACTGCAGAGAACTACAGCTGAGGTGGGAGAGTCTGTCCATAGGACAACAATCAGTCTTACACTGCACAAATCTGGCCTTTATGGAAGAGTGGCAAGAAGAAAGCCATTTCTCAAAGATATCCATAAAAAGTCTCGTCTAAAGTTTGCCACAAGCCACCTGGGAGACACCCCAAACATGTGGAAGAAGGTGCTCTGGTCAGATGAAACCAAAATCGAACTTTTTGGCCACAATGCAAAACGATATGTTTGGCGTAAAAGCAACACAGCTCATCACCCTCAACACACCATCCCCACTGTCAAACATGGTGGTGGCAGCATCATGGTTTGGGCCTGCTTTTCTTCAGCAGGGACAGGGAAGATGGTTAAAATTGAGGGGAAGATGGATGCAGCCAAATACAGGACCATTCTGGATGAAAACCTGTTGGAATCTGCAAAAGACCTGAAACTGGGACGGAGATTTATCTTCTAACAAGACAATGATCCCAAACATACAGCAAAATCTACAAAGGAATGGTTCACAAATAAACGTATCCAGGTGTTTGAATGGCCAAGTCAAAGTCCAGACCTGAATCCAATCGAGAATCTGTGGAAAGAGCTGAAAACTGCTGTTCACAAACGCTCTCCATCCAACCTCACTGAGCTCGAGCTGTTTTGCAAGGAAGAATGGGCAAGAATTTCAGTCTCTCGATGTGCAAAACTGATAGAGACATACCCCAAGCGACTTGCAGCTGTAATCGCAGCAAAAGGTGGCTCTACAAAGTATTAACGCAAGGGGGCCAAATAATTTTGCACGCCCCACTTTTCATTTTTTTATTAGTTAAAAAAGTTTCAAAAATCCAATAGATTTCGTTCCACTTCACAATTGTGTCCCACTTGTTGGTGATTCTTCACATAAAATAAAAAAATTATATCTTTATGTTTGAAGCCTGAAATGTGGCAAAAGGTTGAAAAGTTCAAGGGGGCCGAATACTTTCGCAAGGCACTGTATACTTTGGAGATTAGAAGAGTAATGGGAATTTAATAGCAGTTTAAAGCATGATTCCATTTGATCTTAGATCTATTTCAAGAATTCTTTTATTAAGGGCAGCACAGTGGGAGAATTGTTCGCAATGCCGCTATGCAGCGCTGGAACCCTGGGTTCAATTCTCCCCATATTTGCGTGGGTTTCCTCTAGGTGCTCTGATTTTCCCCCACAGTCCAAAGAAATAATCCTAGGTTAACTGGGTTTTAGGAATACTGTCCCAGGTGTAAGTGTGTGTGTGTTTGTGTCTGTGTGAGCTCTGTAATGGGCCAGTGTCCCATTTAGGATGTATTCTGCCGTGCACTGCTTGCTTGCCAGTAATAGCCTCTGAGCCACCCTGACCCACAGTTGGATAAAGAGGTTGGAAAATGGATAGATTGGTTGAATAACAATTTCAGAAACCAATGTAGAAAGAGCCAAGAAATAAAATACTAGGGTGAGAAGCAAATAGAACAGACATATGAAAAGCAAAAAAAGTATGAAAAATCAAATAGCTTATATTTATGGATTAGTAATTTTCTGTAGTTAGTAATTCACTGCTTTAGCTAAAACTAAATTATGTTTTGAGTGAAGGCTCATATATGGCCAATTATAAGCTCAGTTTTGGGGATTAAGAATTAAAACAGAACATATCACATCATTATAACATTTATATTTGAGCTTGTCCATTTTAGAATATATTCGCAGCATAGATAGTAGTATTTTGTTTTTACTAAACAGCAGTTTAAACATTATGAAAGAATTAGAAAATACTTGTTAAAGAAATATTGCACAACATATACCACTAACCACACATTCCCTTTCCCAAGCTATTTAGTTTGCTTACTAGTGATAACATACATAAAGAATCTTCTTGCTTAATACTGTGATATATTATGTATTCTTTGTCACATTCTGAAACATTAATCTGCAGAAGAAAACAAGATGCCTCCATTGAAATATGTCCATTATATCAAATTAAAATCTCTGTTACACCTCCAGTCTTGATTCCAAGTAAAGTGCTTTCAAGAACATTTAATGATTTAGTGGTATTTAATGTTTTTTAAAGTTTTTCTTTACTTGGTTCTGGCCCCTCTAAACTAGACCAAAGTTAACTTGCATCTGAATTAACACTGTAAATGTTTTGGTGAGAACATGTATATATGTTTTCAATTCTCAGTTTATATAAAATAATATTAGAATGAAACCAGGGGACCTCTGTAAGATACTCTTGAGTTTGGTTGTCTTTTGTTCTTTGTCACCATCTTGTGGTAACTTGTGGTTTTTCACATTTTTCTATGTTACAAACTAGAATCACAATGTATGTGGGATTTTACTGACACAAAGCACTCTATGATGTGAAAGTGAAAACAAAATTCCTACAGATCCTTCAAAATTAATTATACATAGAAAACAGAAAATAAGTGATTGCATAAGTATTCACCCCCTTTACTGTGACACACCTAAATAGGCTCACATAAATTCACATAATTTGTTAAATGGAGTCCACATGCGTGCAATTGTTTCACATGAGCTCAGCATACATATACTGTGTCTACCATCAACGAGGTCCCACAGCTGATTAGTACAGCTCCCAACAAAAACTACATCATGAAGACAAAGGAACTTTGAAAACAAATCTGCAATATGGTTATTGAAAAGATTAAAAAAGATTTCCAAGGCATTATATATCCCCCAAATTTAATTATAAAGAAATGTAGAAAACTTAGCACAACTGTGTGAGTTTCCAGGCAAGAAGTGCACTAGGCAGGGAGCCCGCCAAGAAGCCTGTGACAAACCTAAAGACATAACAGTCTTTCATGGCTGAGTTGGGAGAAACTGTGCATATGAGAATTGCATTAGTGCCTCACAAATTTGGATTCATGGGAGAGTGACAAATCATACATCAAATCTCGACTACACTTTTCCAGTAGGCATGTGGAAGACTCTGAGACCAAGTGGTACAAGATTCTATCGTATGACTAGGCCAGAATTGACCTTTTTGGCCACAATGGTAAGCACTATGTTTGGCGCAAGCATAACAATGAACAGCATTCTGAGAACACCATCCCTACTGTGAAGCATGGTGGTGGTAGTATCATGCTATGGGAAAGCTTCGCTCCATCAGTTCCTGGAAGACTTGTGAAGACAGAAAAATGGATGCAGCAAAGAACACAGAAATCCTGGAGGAGCACCTGTTGCGGTCTGCAAGAGACATAGAACTTGTGAGAAGATACACCTTCCTGTAGAACAATGACTCAAAACATACAGCCGACGCCTACCATGCCTCTACCAAATATTGACTCAAAGGGGGTGAATACTTGCAATCAGTTATTTTCCATTTTATATTTATAATTAATTTAGGAGGATCTGTAAAACATTTTACATTAAAGGGTGTCTTCTTTCAAAAGCACTCAAGCAAAAACGTTCATTATGATGCCATATTGTAACACAATAAAATGTAAAAGCCCAGGGGGATGAATATTTTGATAGCCACTGTATATATTATCAACAGTTTGCTCAATGTCTTCACTTGGGTTTGCTACTATTATATCAGTTTTGTTTCTTATTAACACAGATTAGTTTGGATGAGAAGAAATCAAGCTTGTCACTTAACAATCATTATTATTTCATATTGCCACTGTAAAACAAGCACATCACTACATTTCCAAAATAGCCAAAAGTAACCACATTAAAAATTTGGATGCAGGTTTATGAAGGTAATTTGATGCACGTTTATGAAAGAAAGTGGAAAAAACTACCACAACCAGCAAAATATTTATTATATTTATAAATGAATATTGTTAATGCTCAGAAACCTATTTTGATTTTCATCTGCCAAAATGTGCCTTTAGTTACATGATTCCATATTAATATTCTATGTTAAGTGGATTTAAAGAAATAGGACAACATATAAAATGAAATTAATGTAAGTACTAGTTAAGTAATGTAGTAATTACTAGCTAAGTACTGAAGTAATGTAATTTTCCATACTCAAATCATAGCTTTTAATTTACAAACCAATTACTTGTGAAACCACTTTCTGCTCACGAGTCCGTCCTCTTAAGTGAGGCACTTAACATTTAAGTGTGATATCATAAGTAAAGAATCACAGATTTACAAATTTATTGAAAAACCCAAGAAACTGAAAATGTGACAGTCAGTACACTACAAGCAATTTTAAAGTTTCTCTGCAAAATGGCCATTAAAGTTTTAAAGCCATTCCAAGAAATGTCTAAGTGTAAGTGTTCTGTTTTAATTTTGCTTGATTCTTATCTCTGAAGTAAATGATTATTTTTTCATGTAAAGCTCATCAAAAGATTGTTTTTCTGCTGAATTTGCACTGTAAATAATATTTGATGTCTGATGTAACTTAAAATATAGGGTTATGTTACAATTTCTAGACTAGACTAGAACAGCTATAAACAATAGATTCCAAATTTTTATGTACATTCTTCCTTTGACATCCTTTGGCCCCTGTTTATTTCTGATGGTAAAGTAAATCAGCAGTTGGTTGTTCTTTATCTGGGGAACATTCACTTTTTAACTACAACACACCTCAGACGTTCCAGACATTTGTTAGAATCTTGTAAAAGAAATAATTAATAACTAAATAACTGCTTTATCTGTTTTTTAATCTAGCCAACAGCACCAGTAATTTTGGAATTTATGACCATGATGGCAGTATGCCACACAGTTGTTCCTGAGAAGACTGAGGATAAGATTATTTACCAGGCTGCATCACCAGGTATGTTGCAGATAACCTTATTTGTAAAGATGTAAATTGTTACATAATTTACTGTGCTTTCCATATTATGTATGATTCTGTATTCTACCTGTATAGACATTGACAAAGTCAACCCTATGGACTTATTCAGATTCAACAGTAGAACATGAACTAGAGAACAAAGATACAAACTATGGGGAAGTACATTTAAAACTGAGAACGGAAGATAGTTTTTTAAATAAAAGTATTATATGAGTCTATAACAAAATACCCAGAGGAATTAGCTGCTAGAAACAAAACAAGCTATTGCCTCAGCTACACTTGTGGACTATAGAGTATATAGCTATATATTCAAATACCCTTCTCTCATCTGTAACCTTTCTCTTATATTCCTGTGAAATACCTTTCTAACTAATTACTTTAAAATAAAAATATATAGCAAAATGCTTTTTCCTGATTGGTATCTCAATGGAGGTAAGAAATATGATGACGTTTTAATAAATGAAGACACTTAAACTGATTATTACTTTATATGTTTTAACGTTTTCAAATTAATTTATGGTAAGTGAGATTTCTGCTTAGGCATTTTAATTACTGGAGACCTCAATAGAGTTCCTGTATTGGTAGCTGTGGTAGAGGTCCAGATATGGCGGTAGTGCCAGCAAGCTGAAACATTAAGGAAAAACAACACCTTGGATCCAGGGATGCTCACCAAAGACCACAGGCTAAAAATATACAGATGCAGCCATTCAAAGTGCGAGGTACAAACTTGTACTGCATTCTCACTTGTACAAATGTGAACGCGCAGCTCAAATCTCCGAATCTCAAGTTAGCCACAGCCACGCAACTGATTGATCCAGTTTGTTTGTCAACAAGCAGCCTGCTACTTGTCTCCAGAATGTGCATGTACCACCCAGCAGCTCTGTGCAACTCCCTGCGTTCTGTTTGCGCATTTCCTACTCAGCTGCCTCTCGCCCAGTACTTGGGTTCTCTCATGTAGTAGTCCCATTGCAGTAGTGTGACATTAAACTATCATGCTGATTTAGATAATACAAGTGATTTAGCTGTTGTCCAATGAACAGTATAATGAAAATTCAGATTATGGTATGAAGGAGGCTACCTGCCAGACATGTATGTCTGATTGAGTGGACTTTACTCACTTTTTTCTTATCTGCTGCTTGCACAAGCTGTGCTTGTAACAGAACAAAACTCCTTAAGAATGAGCTGATCTTGCAAGGCAAAATCAAATGTTCTTTGAACTCTTTAAGCAGCCATATCTTGTCTTTAAGAACATTGTGTCATTTAAGCAAACATATTAGTCAAGAGAGCAGAAGTTGTTGTGATTGATGAGAACTCTCTCCCACCCTGAGTTTCTGTTCTGTATAAAAAATGTATGTTGTAAGCAAGCCTTTGAGTCTCGCCTTTCAGATCTCTTTAGTCTGAAGGTTTGCCTCCTGTATGCATACATACAGATGCAGCCATTCAAAATGCACGGTACAAACCCGTACTGCACGCAACTACCAACAAACCACGGTACGTGATTGGCTGGCCAAAATGACCAACAGGGGCACTCGTGGTGCATTGGTCGGTAGTGAAAGGATTTAATCATTTAATCTCTTTACTGTGCACATTTTAATTCACTTAATATTGAATATGTGTATGGAATTTTACAACTAAAGGGAAATTTTAGTAGCTGAGCATATAAAGAAGAGGAGCATAATGCATCTGAAAATCATAAACGATATTAATTTAGGAACATAAACATATCACGTAAACTGTATCGTATATGGCTGGTATTGGTAGTTTCAAGAAAAAATACACACCAGTATTCCATTTCTCCCTAAACATTTTAAGCATCAAAGTCTTCCGTGGTTATTTCAGAAACGTTTTTATGTGCTCCTTCTGACCATATTACTGTACGTTTATATACTTTGTGAGAAAAGTGATAGTTTTAAGCCTTTCTGCAAATACGCTTATTATCGGAATAAACAAAAGCATACTTTTAGAATTTGATTAATGGGAATATAATATGGAATCACGTATCTAAACAAATTAATAACTATATAATTATATTCAGATACTGTAGCACAAACAGTAGTATAAGACTTCCTATTGATATGTGTCAGCTGTTTCAGCACTATGCGACGTCACTGTGTCTGTGGCGTGATAGCTTAAGTGACTGACTGGTGTGCAAATCCAGCAATCGCTATGAGTTTTCATTTAACAAATAAACATTTCTTTGAAAAACTCAAATAGCAAATATTATTGGCATTATATTGAAATTTTTTATATTTCTAAATATCACAACATGTTCGTACTGTATGTACACAGCGGTACCGCAGGGTGTAGGGCGTAAACCTGATGTTGCACATGCGCCTGGCACTGCGGCCGAGGAGCACCTGGCTGGGGCTCTGTCTCTCTCTCACCCGCAGTGCTGGCTGTGCCGTATTTTACTCCTTAAAGTCTGAGTCTCTGTGTCTACATTGTTTGTAAACAAACTGGTTTCACAGGTTTTTTCTCACCTTCTTCATTTTCAAAGGAGAATAGGGCAAGTCTTCCAATGAAAGACAGTCTAACCTTCCCCCCACGAACAGACTGACAAAAGTTTTCTTAGAAAAACAGATTCACAACGCGAAGCTGTGTCACTCTTCTGTGTAAAAAAAAAAGGTTTGAACACCATGGCTGCTGTTTTTAATAAGCTACTGAGTAAAGAATAGGGATGTTCCTGCTGTCAGCAGTATTGTGTATATAGTATTATGTACAGGCTGCAAAAACTTTCACAAGTGGAGGTCTTTAAAATTAGGTTGGGCAAACGATTTTTTTAATTCTTAAAAAATAAATCAAAAACAAGATATGATGTGTTCCTGCTTAGACATTGCACACTTTAAAAGCTATAAAAACAGGTTTCGATAGTTAATAACCACTTTTTATGTGTGAAAAACGGGTGATTTTTCTTCCTCCTGATCAGCTTAGAATCTCAGTGTATGCTGTAAGGTTTTTACCTCTTAATTAAACATTTAAAATACGTTTCGAATAGAAAAAATCATATTCTGTTGTCTTCCTCGTATGTACAGATGCAGCCATTCAAAATGCACAATACAAACCCGCGGTACGGGCAACTACCCACAAGCCACCGCAGGGCACCGCGGTAAGTGATTAGCTGGCCAAAATGACCGACAGGGGCACTCGTGGTGCGTTGGTCGGTAGTGAAAAGATTTAATCATTTAATCTCTTTACTGTGCACATTTTAATCCGCTTAGTACTGAATATTTATATGAAATTTTACCACTAAAGGGAAATTTTAGTAGCTGAGCATAAAAAGAAGAGGAGCATTACACATCTGAAGGTCATAAACGATATTAATTTAGGAACATAAACATTACTGTATGTAAACTGTACTGTGTATGGCTGGTCTTGGTAGTTTCAAGAAAAAATACACACCAGTCTTCCATTTCTCCCTAAACATTTTAAGCATGAAAGTTTTATGAAACGGTACCCAAATATGCGATTGCTGTATAGAATGAATTTTAATTAAAAAAAATATTTAACATGAAAATTAAGCTGTTTACATCTTCCGCCTGAGAACATAGTCACCCGTTGCTACCCAAGGCAGAAACACAGCCACTAACTAGCAAAGAGAGGACATTAGCTAGCCAATATGATAAAGAAATAAATGATTATTTGTTTATTTCTTTTGCACATTTATTTGAACATTTCCATCGATTGTACAAGCACTTGGAAACACCCTTTTCCATGTAAATAGATCCCTGGTTCCGTACCCCGCACCAAACAAATTTATATTTCTAAATATCACAACATGATTGAATTTAAGTCATTTTAATAACAATGAATAGTCACCTATACGTTACAATATAAACATTTATATTGATTTAAATCAGGTTTAAATCGCCTTTATTTAAAACCCATAAATAATGATACTGTTTAGACTTTTAATTATTTAAAACTGTATTACAGCAGCACAATGCACAATGCAACATAAATCGCTAACTTTGTCTTCTGCGTAATAATGTTCACCTCTCTGTCCAGCAAATTAACAATAATAATAATAATGAACTTTATTGTAGATGGCGCCTTTAAAGGTGGCTCCTCAAAGTGCTTTACAGGATAAAAACAATATCAACAGTAGTGTTAGGCTGGGCAAATGATTTTTTTTTAATAGAAATACAAAATGAGATATAATGATGTGTTTAACGAAGCACCGATGCACTGCAAGTACAACCCCCCTCTCTGCGGGAGTGCTGGCTGGGACGAATTAAACCGGTTTCACAGGTATTTTCAAAGTAGAAGGGGGCAAGATTACCAGCGAAAGACACCTCCCCCCATCCAAAAGTACAGTACTTACTAGTTAAGAAAGCTAGGCTCCTCAATGAAATCACTTTAACATGCTAATGCGTTGGTGTAACAGTCCGGGTGTGGCAAGCTTCTAATGTCAACCTGACTACGGTGAAAGGAACCCTTCTTTCATTGGAAGACATTGAACATATTCTAGCCCTAAATGAATTAATAGCAAAACATGGTTTACATAAAAGACATTTTTCCAAGAAAGTTTAGCCTTTGTCACTAATGAAACCACTAAATAAAGACATAAATATAGAAATCTTAAGATTTTTAACAATACATGACTTTGCTAAAATTTATTTAAAAATAAAAACTATTACAAACGCCAGCGGAGAGAGAGAACGGGAGGGATGTTGGTTTTGCATAATGGGCGGTGCTAAGGAAATGAGGTCTATTTGGGAATGTGGAGTTACATGTTCTTGCTGTTTGTGAATTATCGTTGTTGAGTTTGGAGTGTTGAGGTATTGATTTTGTGTAATGCTTTATGTTTGAAATTGAGCTGGATTTTGTTTATGATAAAGAGGATAAACTGGGA